GAGGTCACAGGAACCGCTGGGAGCGGGCAGAGTCCAGGGCCCCGGCCCGTCTTTAGTTTGGTGACGTGGAGAGGTCACCTTGCACCGCTCAGGACGAACAGGGAACTCTGGGACTCAGGACCTCAGGTTGGATGGAGGCGCAATGCCTGCGGCTCTGGTGGCTAAAGGCAGTGGGGACACAGACCCCAGAACTTTGGAGGTGAGGCTGGAACTGGGGGGCAGGGGTGGGGGGGCCTGAAGGGCCAATGCTTGGGCTCCGCTCTGACCCCGTGGGGACCTCTGCAGCCCCAAACGCTCTCCAAGGAGGCCTCCCAGCTTCTCCTTCCATTCACAGTTGGCCACGAGGCTGAATTCACAGTATCTGCCGACCTTCATGTTTCCAAGTCAGGAAGGGAGCGCACCGGGAGGGCCAGCAAGCCTTCCTAACCTCACTCACAGTCATGGAAACCGAGGGCAACGGGGGCCCATGGGGGCTTCCCGGGTGTTTCTCTTCAATGACAGGAAGTGCAGGCTGTGCGTGGGGAGGCTGCCCAGGGCCTTGGAGGAGAACTGCCCCCAGACCCTCAGCGACACTCGTGGGGTTCCTGGCAGACCGTCCGTTCCATCAGGGAGGAGACGGTGACTGTCTGATCACCAGGCCCCCAGCACGTGCACAGGGCACGGGAGCTGCTCAACAAAAGCTTCTTGACTGACCCACGAGTGTCACACTCGTGAGAAGAAAGCAGAACGCAGGCTGACTTTGGTGGGGGAGGAGGCCCCGGGCCCCGGGTGCTCAGCTGCTGTCCAGCCCCAGGGCTCCCCAGCATGACCTCGGGCTCAGAGGGGGAAGCTGAGAGGCAGCAGCCACACACCTATGTGATGTTAGGTGGGGTCTGATGTCAGATCCGTGGTCCCCCATGCTGCCCCAAAAAACATCCACAACCATGTAGAGGGCTGATGGGGGAAGCCAAAGGCAGGATGGGGAGAAACGGACAGCCCCACAGAGGACAGCCCCACAAGAGCTGAAGCCACTGGTTTCCAGCTCCCGCCGCCCTCCCACACCCTAACTGGGAAGGCGCTCTGGTCTGGAGGGTTGATGGGCTGCGGGAGCCGGGCACCTTGCATTGCCCGCAGCTGTGCTCTCTACGCACGGCTCAGCCAGAACGCTGGCGAGGGGCCCACAGAACCATGGCGTCTAGGCAGAGGTCCGTTTCATATGGCATTTTGGCCAAACCGGGGGCTGCTCTGAAGATTGGGAGCTTTGCTAGGGGCATGAATGAAAGGGGTGGGAGGACCACGTGCCCTCCATCTTGGCTCAGAGCACGGACACAGGTCCTGGGCCTGCATGCGGCCACAAGGCCACTCACCCCTCCTTGGTCATTGCTGGTTGGGAGCCTGAGAGGACAGAACGCCCACTGACGGGCTTCTTTGCCGCGTGGGACGTGTCTCTTTAGGCGGCAGCTTCTAAGGATGACGGGCAGGAGGCTCTCTCATCACGGGCTGTCCTTCGGGTCAGACAGAGGCCTGACTTGGTGCTGGGAAGGCTCTGGAGACTGGGGGGCCCGCCCCCCATGTTAGCTCTGCACACGGACAGCAGGGGAGCAGGAGTGGGCTGAGGGGCTTCAAGAGGACCGGGACCGGGGAAGAGATGGGCGGCTCCAGGCCTTGGGGTGACAGGATGGGTTTCTAAGGGGCCAGCCAGGTCACCCTGTGGCTGGGAGGGGGGCTCGGGGACCCGCTGCTGCTGCTGCTTCTGCTTCCCCTGCACCTTCCCTGTCCTCACGGAGCCCTCATGGCACACACAGCCTTGGCTCTGGGATTCGGGAGCCTGAAAAGCCGAGGCCCCGGCTGCCGCCCTGGTGGCACGAAGGAAACGCCTCTGCAGAAGGTGGAACCTGGCGGGAGCCGCCGGACCCCTGCAGATGTTATCCGGATGTGACCGTCTCCGCGTGTCCCGCTGGGACGGGCGGAGCTGCAGGGGTCAGAGGTGAACCCAGCTCTCTGGGATCTGGGGGCCCTGGTATTCCAGCTGGGTTCCCAGCCAGGGCTTCCTCTGCGAGAGGAGGAAGGGACGAGGGGAGAGACCCCGGCCGAGAGAGAGCTTTCCCCCTGACAGAGGCGAGGTCAGGCCTGTGGTCCCCCATCCTGCCTCCGAAACATCCCCAACCAGGATTTTAAAGCAATAAATTTGAAATTTTAGATTAAATGGCAAAGTTCTTAGAGAAGCATTTCTGATTCTTATAGGTTGCATCTTTGGCAAATATGTTCTCCCCTACAGTGGGCACCCTTCTTATTCCATTTAATTTTCCAGCATAATAGAAGTAAAAAGCCTAAGAAGTTTTATAATGATTAAGAGACTAAATTTGAAATTAAAGTATTTTCATAGGTAACCCTACTAAGTATTTAAAAGAATTGCCAATTTTATACAGATTATTCCGAGAATTTTATTTAACATAACTTATATACCAAACCTGATATGGTATAATTAATTTAAACGTTGTTACCGAGTTAGTAAATAACTGAGGAAGAATTCATTTTTAAGCTTTTCTGGTTTCAAAGCTTTTAATTTCATTGCTATACTGTCTCCTATAGACTATATAGGGTTGATCCACAGAGAAATATACAGATGAAAGGACATCTGTTTAATCCCTCATGTTTCACCAGCTAAAGCCAGAGATGGCTGAGTGGCTTTGTGCTTTGTAAGAGTCGAAGCTTTGCTGTTTCCCACTGACTAGATTAATAACTCTTTCAACACTGAGATCCATGCCAAAATGAAACCACACACCTGGGACATCGTGAAGTCCAGGGGAGGGTCATGGAAAGGAAACTACTTTCATGGGCTTTTGCTAAAATCATCTTATCTCAGGTACATTACCAGCAAGAATCACTTATGATGAAAACTGTCCTCTCTAGATATGTCCAGGCTCCCATTCATATGAACCCATCACTCAACAGTTGGTCTCTTTAGGGAAGTAATTTCTCTGGTCTGACTGGAATGAGGCAAAGTAGTGCTGTATGTACTCTGTTGTTACATGTCCCAGATTCTGAGGTGCTGACATTGTTCAGAGTTGATCATTTGGGCTTACATAAGCACATTCAACTAGTTGTAACTTTTAAGCAGGAATAATGGATTTGAGGTGTTATTTCCCCCCCCCCCCCCTGCTGTAATATTTTTCTTTTCTCCACAAAGGAAAGCACTGTCTCTCTCTCTTTTTAATTTTATTGTTATTGTAGAAAGTATAATAACATTCCTTTTTCTCCCCATTGACCCTCTCCTCACTTCTCCCAGGTCTGCACTACACTATTGCCTGTGTCCATAGATTTTGCATATATACATTTAAGTTATTTGGTTAATCTTTTCCCCTCCCAATCCCTGCCCCCCAATTCCTGCTTTACCTTTGAGATATTTCAATCTGTTCCATGCTTTTGTGTCTCTGAATTTATTTTGTTTAACAGTTAATGTTGTTCATTAGATACCATGTATGAGGGAGATAATGTGGTACTTATCTTTCTCTAACTGGACTATTTTGTTTAGCATAATACTCTCTAGGTCCCTCCAGGGACCCGTCTTTTTTATAGCTATATAGTATTCCATTGTTTAAATGTACCACCTCTTTTTTTAATCCACTCATCTATTTATGGGCACTTGGGCTGTTTCCAGATTTTAGCTATTGTATTTGCTCTGATATGAACATAGGGATGCATATATTGTTTCAGAATAGCGTTTCAGGATTCTGAAGATATATTCTTAGATGTTGGATCACTGGGTAAAATGGTAGTTCCATTTTTGATTTTTGAGAAAACTCCACGTTGTTTTCCAGAATGGCCACACTTGTCTGCATTCCCACTAGCAGTGTACTAGGGTTCCCTTTTCTCCACATCCTAGCCAATACTTGTTGTTTGTTGATTTGTTGATGGTAGCCATTCTAACAGATGTGAGGTAATACCTCAGTGTCTTTTAATTTGCATCTCTCTGATTATTAATTACCTTGAGCATTTTTTTCATATGCCTTTTGGCCATCTGTCCTCCTAGGAGAAGTATCTATTTAGGTCCTTTGTCCACTTTTTAATTGGAATTTATCTTCCTTTTGTTAAGTTGTTTGAGTTCTTTATATACTTTGGAAATTAACCTCTTATAGGTTGCATCTTTGGCAAATATGTTCTCCCATACAGTGGGCACCCTTTTCATTTTATTGATCATTTCTTTTGTTGTGTAGAAGCTTGTTTGTTAATCTTCACCTGAGTATATTTTTTTTCTATTGATTTTTAGAGAGAATGGAAGAGAGGGGGAGAGACAGAGGAGAAACATTGATATGAGAGAGACACCTAGATGGGGTTGCCTCCCACAGGAGCCCTGGCTAGGGGTTCGAACCTGAAACTGAGGTGTCCTTGACTGGAACAAAATCTGCTACCCTTCCATCTGTGGGCCAACACTTTAACCACTGACCCAAACAGGTTAGGGAAGAAGTTTTTTATTTTTATGGACTCCCATTTGTTTATTTTCTCCTTTGTCTCCCTTACCTTAGGGGATGTTTTGGCAAACATATTGTTATGCAATTTTGCTACCAGTGGTTTCTTCCAGGATTCTTATGGTTTCATCACTTACATTTAAGTCTTTTATCCATTTTAGTTTATTCTTGTGTATGGTGTAAGTTTGTGGTCTTGTTTCATTTTTTTACATGTACCTGCCCAATTTCCCAACGTCACTTATTGAAGAAACTGTCTTTACTCCATTGTATGCTCTTTTCTTTTTTTGCCAAATATTAATTGAGCATAATGGCTTGAGTTGATTTCTGGGTTCTCTGTTCTGTTCCATTCATTTATATACCTGTTCTTGTGCCAGCACCAGGCTGTGGTTGTTGTTGTTTTTTAAAGCTGTTTCAAGTCTGTGGAGTAGGGAAATGGAGTAGAGGAAAGAAAGTTAAAAGTAAACTAGAAGTTACTTTTGTCTCAATGGAGAAGGGGAAGTAGAAGAACTAATGCATTAGTGAAAGTGAGTGGCTCTGTATTAGTATAAATATGTACATGCTTAATAGTCATGTGGATAATAATTTTATGTACAATTATGCATAAAATGTATTATGTAATATTAGTATAAATATGTACATGCTTAATAGTCATGTGGGTAATAATTTTATGTACAATCATGCATACTGTAAGGTCTGATTTTGTTGTGTAATTGAGTTTATTGTGGAGGTGCTTCAGGAGATAGTTTAAGTAGAAAACATTTTACATGTTATTAGAAGAAATTAAAAAAATTAGTCACCAAAATGAGAAAATGTATAGCCTCTGTTCATAATAGCTGAGCATATCTCATGATCATGTCATGGTTCTCTTTGCAGTCTCTTCTCCTGTAACTAAGATCTACTTAATATTTCCAATTCATGGAGACAGGCTGTTTCTAACCACCATGCCATTGCTCACAGCTCTCTGTCCCCCTGAACATCAGCCTTTTCTCATGCCCTCACTAGGCTGGTGTCGGCTTATACTCCAGCTCCCGCTCAGATGGCTCAGCCTTTCTTGGCTGCCTCAAGATGAATTAGGTAGCCTCCTTGTATTCCTGAAGGTTTTGTCCTCGCTCTTACACCAATGAGCTCTGTATTCAGTTTAGGGGTCTCTGCTTTGGGATAGTTCTTATCTTTGCACCTTAACAGTGGCAATAAATATTTATTATATCAGTGAATTATTTGAGTGATGAAAAGCAATTCATTAACTTTTCTGGATGCTCAATTTCTTATCTGTGACATGAAAAGGTCATATAATATCATTTCTAACTTTCCCTTAACCAATAAACGTGGAGGTTCTAGTGTGAGCCTCTTAGTTTGATACTGGAAGAAGTCCATCCGTATAAAACTTCACATCAGAAAAACAATAAAATGAAATAGGGTGTGATTTACAATTATAAACCTCATACTCACTGGAGCGACTCATAAATGGAGACTTTAATAAGTATGTATGCTCAAAATTTTATAGCCTTCCTGCATCATTTTGTCAGTAGTATATTTTTAGTATCTTCTTTGTGTACATGGCTCTATAACCATGATCAAATTGTACATTAATGGAAAACAAAGTCAGGAGAGAATTTTATAGTCCAAATTTTCGTGTTTTATTAGTTTTTAAGGTTTTGCATAAAATCATTATAAAATTGGAATTTAAAAAATCAAATGCTCCAGCTGAAGCCCATTTGGCTCAGTGGTAGAGCGTCGGTCTGCAGACTGAAAGGTCCCTGGTTCGATTCCGGTCAAGGGCATGTACCTTGGTTGTGGGCACATCCCCGGTAGGGGTGTGCAAGAGGCAGCTGGTTGATGTTTCTAGCTCTCTATCTCTCTCCCTTTCTCTCTGTTAAAAATCAATAAAATCTATTAAGAAAAAAAAATCAAATGCTCCCAAGTTTTCTGAGGTTTTGTCTAGAAGGGAGAGATGCCTATTGTCAAAGGATTTCATTAGATGTAGCTACAATTAAAGATAAAAACTTTCTATTTGTTTTTAGAAATTTACACCTAAAGTGAAGATACATACATATTAAGGTCCAGATTATATTAGATTTGACTAACCCCCCTGAAAAGATTTCTTCAAAAAATTAACTTATATTTTAATATATTTCCACTCCAAAGGACTTTAGTTTCTTACAGACTCATAGTTGTGAAATCAACTCTTCATAAAGCATGAAGAGTTATGCTTTTAATCTTAATTAAAAAATGAATGAGTATAGAAAAACAGGTTACTTTACTGTAGTTACTTCAATAATATCTTCAGGGGATTGGTACCAGTAAAATCATGAACTGGCTGTTTGGTGTCTGACATTGCCAGCCAAAATACCCTGCCTTGGGCTATATTTAAATAATAACTGTATCATCAATGCTCTGTTTTACTTTTGTAGTGGGGAGGGAAAAAAGTGGATTAAGACTTTGCTCCAATATGGCTGTGTATTAATTATTCTCATGTAGATTTGGTGCAAGAAATAGAGAGAGAGAGCTGGTGGATTCTCAGAAAATGTGTTAAGATGGTGAAATGTGATAGGAAAGAAGGCATTTGACTCCACCGATAATGGTGATTAGAAAGGACTTCAGATAATAAACACTGTCACATCTGACTCCTACAGTGATCACTTGTCCAAAAGCAGACCAGCAATTGCTGCTGATTGCTGGCAATGAGAAGTGACTGCGTACTCAGTTCTTTAGTTACACCTAGAATTCATTCCACACATTAGGTAATAGAAGCCAAATGAACTAGGACATTTTTTTCAAGCAATGAAAAAATGGGCAGGGCAAGGAAATGCCTATTAGTTACAGGTAGAATGTTGAAATTTAATTTCTTGGGTTAAAGTGCCATGTAGTTTGCTTTTAAATTAGTTACACGTGTAAACTTAAAAGACCCGTTTAAACAGATGATATAGTTACCTCAGTCCTTTTCAGAAGCAGGTATCTTATCTTCCAGTTTGATTTTTCAAATCGGAAACCTTGTTATTTAAAATATCAAAATAGCCAAAAACCAAAATGGTACTTTCCTAAGAAGACGACAAACATTTTATAGCAGAGTATTCACATGATCAAGTACAGAAATGCTTTTCTCGAACCACTCTCTCAGCGGTAAACATAGGTTGCCACGAAGAAGGCCAAATAAATAAAACACGCTTGTCTTACTCTGCTTGGGATGTTTTAGCAAATTACCATGGAATGGGTGGTAAACAGCATTTGTTTCTCACAGTGCTGGAGGTGAGGAAGTCCAAGACCCAGGTGCAGGCAGACTTGGTTCCTGACCAGAGCTCTCTTCCAGTTTGTAGAAGGCCAACTTCTCACTCCATCTTGGCATGGCTGAGAGAGGGCTCTAATCTCTTCCTAAGGAGACCGATTCCATCCTGAGAGCTCCCCTCTGATGACAATTACACCCCCAGGGCCCCATCTCCAAATACCATACAGGGGCATTAGAGTTTCAATAGATGAATTTTTGGCAACACAAACACAGCCTATAACAGCTGTTATTATAGGTGTCAAATATTCTAAAAAAATATGTGCAACTTCTTTTTTCAAATGCAGAACATGTTTGATATATGAGAAAAATATAGGCCCCAAATTTCATTTTGAAATGTCTCACTTGAATAAAATTTACTTTATTAAATGCAGTAAGTGTAACCCACAATTGTAAACTGCACATTCTGATCTTAATTAGAGTTAACACCCACCAGATTCCAAAGGGTGAGGAGGCATCTAGTTTTACTCACTAAAACAAACAAACAAAACAAACAAACACTCTACCTCAGTTTGTCCATAGCCAGAGGTTCATACCAGCATTCACATCATGAACCAATGGGCTCACTTCCAGTATTCCAACTGTGAATGAGAAATTTTCAAAATACTGGGCTGCGCTGTGTTTCTGTATCACCAAAGAAGTTATTCCCATTCTGGGAAATATGCCTGCATGAACCCTCCTAGATTCAGCATTGTTCTCCCACAAAAGGGAATGCCTCATCATTCTTAAGTCTGCCTTTCAACCCATGTTTGGGACTTGCATGGTAAGCCTGAGAAAAAAGAGAGAGAGAGAGAGGCTCAGCAGCTCCTTAAGGTACTTTCCTGCCTGAGAGTTAGGCACTATGGAAACCAGCACAAACTCTTTTCTCTGATGTGTGGTGGTGACAGGTGTGTAACTACCCCGCTCCCGGAGCCTCTCCTCCCTCTCCTGGTCTCCCACTTTTCCCCCGGCCCCTAGTCTCATTCCTGTGTATTCCCAGATCCAGAAAATGAAGGAGCAGTGAATTTGGCTGGTGCTGGCTGCAAACAAACAGGCCAGGCGAAACCTTAGGGTCAGGGGTTCAAAACCACAAAGGACCCTGGATGTCACATAGTCGGAGCTACCCTGTTAAAAGCCACAAAAGTGGAGTTCAGAAAAGGTCCAGCATATCGAAGACCACACAGATGGTAGCAGCAGAAGCAGGTCTAGAACCCCGTCTCCTGCATTGGATGGGAGGAGGTTTATCCTGAGCTCTGTGCCAGGAGAGTTTTAGTCAGATGTGTGCAAGGTCACAGCTCTGGAGGAACCACAAATAAGTCCAACATCCCAGTGTTCCTGCTTTGGCCAGTCGATCGTTCTTTGAGCAGCTATTTATTGAGTGTTTTACAGGGAGTTCCTTTGAGCTACTTCTTCACTGACTCTGGAACTCTGACACTGAAATGCTGCCAACAGAGGCAAGTGGGAGTCAGGATTGGCGGCAGCAATTTATTTAGCAATTTCATTGCTCCACAAATAGATTGAGAGCAAAGGAGAGATGTGTCAACTTTTGGGGGGCATAAATATTTTGAAATTTATGTTCAGCAGGATTAAAAGATTTTTTATTTCTTCTTTTTTTTTTCTTCTTTCAACTCATTAAGTGTGGATATCTGGCCAATATATTTATACTTTAAAATGGCAAGAGTTATATGATTCAGTTGCATTTTAATTGATCAGCGTTTTTTTGTAAATTGTCGATTTCTTGATCTTACTATGTATAAACAAGTAAAACAGAGTGAAGAATGTAATTTTCTTCATTAAATTGATGGGAGTTAAAAAAGCTAAAACCCGTTTACAAAGGAACATGTACTCAGAGCACACAGTGCCCTCTTCTTGGGAAATACGTCAGGCTACTGTAATGTCTGTTTGTTTAAATGATGTATGTGAATATGCTCAAGATTTGCAGACAAGGAAGATGGGAGGGGGGTGGAAGGAAATTAGGTCTTTTGATGACTCTGGCATCAGTTTGAAGCACACAAAGAAAGGAAGCATTTGCTCACATCAGAGGAGGAAGTCCTTGGATGCCACTCGTGTTCTGACTCAGGAGAGAAACGTTCCCCCACTCACATCCTCTGACCTTTACCTTGTGGCAAGCAAATCCCCAAATCTGGGAGGGTTGGTGAGCTTAAGCCATCAGAACTTTGGACACTGAGCTAAAATAGCTAAAAGCTGGAGCGTTTGTTAGGCAGAGTTTCATCGACTTCCTGATCTTTGTGGGGATTTTCTTTAGTTTTTAGTGTCAGATTACTGCAAGGTCTTTTACTAGGATGATCAGAGAGATGACTCTCTTGCTTTTCAGTAAGATCTGTGCTAAAATGGTTACTTCCTTAAGGGTGTCCCTTAACTACTGTCAATAGCAATGCCTACCCCCACCAGTTTCTCTTCATCTCTTGCCCCAGTTTATTTTGTATAATATTTATGACTATAAACATAACTTTTCCTTTTGTTTATTTACTTACTGCCATTTGTTTATCCCTCTTTAATGAATAGTCCAGAAAATCAGCAACTTATTCTATCCTGTGAGCTAGTGAAAATTAACATTGTGAAAGATGAACAATAATTTAAAAAAATAATGAAGCTGAAACCGGTTTGGCTCAGTGGTAGAGCGTAAGTCTGCGAACTGAAAGATCCCAGGTTCAATTCCGGTCAAGGGCATGTACATTGGTTGCGGGCACATCCCCGGTAGGGGGTGTGCAAGAGGCAGCTGGTTGATGTTTCTCTCTCAGCGACTTTTCTAACTCTCTCTCCCTCTCCCTTCCTCTCTGTAAAAATTCAATAAAATATATTTTAAAATAATAATAATAAAAAAATAAGAATAAATAATAAATCACAAGAGAGAGACCTTGCTAGAAAATCATTTTAGTCCTTGGACTAAGTCTTGGCACATAGTAATCAGTAAACAGTTTAAAAATCAATATTTTAATAACTTTCACATTACTGTCCTTATAGTTAAGTGAATGAAACGATTGGAAGTTAATAAATACAACCAAAATTATACTCATTTATTACCTTATTTAAAAATATCTTTGAAGGAGATATTATAGTTTTAATTTTATGTGTTGAGAAAACTGAGGTTCATTTCTCATCATAACATAATTATCACATTCAGCACAGATAAGTATAATTCATAGGAGAATGTTGTGGGATAAGTACAGTTCTAAAGGTCCAGATGAGAGTGAGAGCACATCTTAGCAAAGGCATGGATTGGACAGCCAGCATCGCTGAGCGAGTTGGAGGGAATAAATAAGGCCCGATAACATTGGAGAGAAGAAGAACATTAGGAGCATTCAAGGAAGAGTAAAGGTCAATTTGGTGAAGCTATCATGAATGTTGAAAAACAGGTACAGGTGAGGCTGGGGGAGTATTTGATATCCATATTTGAGAGCTTAAACGTTTAATTGACAAGAATTACATAGTGCCCTGGCTGGTTTGGTTCAGTGGATAAAGCGTCGGCCTGCAGACTGAAGGGTCCCAGGTTCAATTCCGGTCAAGGGCATGTACCTTGGTTGCGGGCACATCCCCAGTGGGGGGTTGCACAGGAGGCAGCTGTCCATAATTCTCTCTTATCGATGTTTCTAACTCTCTATCCCTTTCCCTTCCCCTCTGTGAAAAAATCAATAAAATATATTAAAAAAAGAAAAGAAAAGAAAAGAAAAAGAATTACATAGCTATGGAGAAAACCAGAGCCCTAAGAACTTTTTATATATTGAACTATTCATTAGAAGCATTTAGAAGGTAAACAAAGGCAGCACAGTCATGGTGGATTGATTGGAAAGGGAGAGTTTGGAAATAATCTGGAAGAGAGGGGCTAGAAGTTAGAGGTTTCACAAATGTCCCTTCATAAGTAAGTGTTATACTTAGAGCAAGCCTGGAGATTTACAACTAGGTCACCATTTGGGGAGGCACCCTCTCTGGCCTGGGAAAAGGTGTGCCACGACCTAAATTGCTTAGACACTTCTCACACTCTACTACCAGGGTCTTCTTCTCTGGTTCATGTTTCTGAAATGTGCCACCTCGCACACTCACAGTTAGGCTTTCAACACAAGCATGCCCACTGGGCCATCCCTTTGAACCAGAACATCCTTCCTGCATCCCAGCATTTCCCCTTGGCGGCTTCCTGGACTCCTTGCTAATCATGAGCTTTTCCACATCAGTCTCCTGGAGGAGGTGGATTCAGATGGAATCACTTCTGAAGGGAACTTGAAGTGGACTAATGTAGAGAGAATGTAGACCAGCTCATAGAACCGGAGCTGGCCTAATAAGAGTTTACTAGTAATTACTACCTTAGTGGTTATCAAAACTTGATCATGCACCAGAATCACCCAAAGGGCTTGTTAAAACAGGTTGCTGGATGCCACCCCCATTTATTCAGATGCTGCTTCCCTGACGACCATGTTTTGAGGACCATTTCTCTAACAGAAGACTGACCTACATCCTCAAAGCCTGCTTTCATTGATGTCTCTTGGATGTTGTAGTGCAGAACTCAAAGGTTCATAGTTTTTCAATGGTATGGATGCAAAAATTGTCAGCCAAAAGCTATATTGAATAAGAATTCATGGTCTTGTGTAATACCTTAATCAATAAAGAAAAAAAAAAGAAAAAAAAAGTCATGGTCTTTAGGAAATACATTTCTTTACTATTCATACTTTGATGAGGTTATAGGATTGTTGACTGTCCTTCATAAATAAAAAATTTAACTGTAGCTATCTAGGAATAAGAATGCCCATTCATGAGTTAAAATTGTGATTATAATTACATAATGAAAGCTTTGTTAGGTTAAAAAAGATCTGCATTTTAGGAGTGGTAGCAGTGAATATGTCAGTTGAGACTTTATTACTACTTTATAACTAAGTACTCGAATGTAAGATGTTATTGGCATTCAAATAGCTTACTTTTATTCATGAATGATAATGACTTTACTCATACCAGCTCCAAAGTGAGTAGCTTTCACATTATAAAGATGAGCACAACTATGATTAATCCATCACTGACCCTCTTCCCTGTTGGGCATAGTGATGACTGTTCAGACTGATTCAGACAATATTGGTTTCTGAATATAAAGAAAAATACTGAGAAGAGAGAGCTGTTTATGTAGAGAAGCAACAATCAGGTCTTAGTTTCAAAACAGAAAAAGAAAACCTTTTTAGAATTTCCCACTTCTCCCCAAGAGGAAACAACTCGCTATATGTCATACAATATTTAGGACAATTTTACGTTACCTTATAAGGACTGCGTGTTTTTTCCACATATTTTAATTATCAATCACATTGTTACATTAGATCCTTACTCCACTCAGGCTGCTATAACAAAACACCACAGACTGGGCAGCTTATTAACAACATGCATTTGTTTCTCACAGTTCTGGAGGCGGGAAGTCAAAGCTCAGAGTGCCAGCACAGTTTGGTGAGAGCCTTCTTCCAGGTCATAGACTTCGCATTGTGTCAAGGGAGCTCATTGGGGTCTGTTTCATAAGAACACTAATTCCATGCAGGGGGGCTTCCTGACACAATTACCTACCAAATACCATCATATTGGATATTGGGTTTTCAACTTATGAATTTGGAGGGGATACACAAATTCAGAGCATATCACTCACTATACACAGTGCCCTTTAAAAATTGTGATCCTACACATACTTGTCTAATATGCTTATTTGGGCCCTTCTTAATTGTATTTTTGTGTGTGCATGTGCCTATGATTATATGTAAGTTAGATTGCAAATATGACTGCATTCATGATCTAATATACTTAAAATGTCCTGGTCCAATCATAAATAACAGATCATAGGACAAATGTTCCCTGCATACCTCCCCCATCATCTCTATATATAAAAGCCTAACAGCCATTCAACCGTTTGACCGGTAGCTATGACATACACACACTGACCACCAGGGGGAAGACACTTAATGCCCAGGCATGGAAACATGGAGAGGCTGATGAATCTCAGAGGGAAGGGGAGAGGGGAGAAAGTGGGAAGAGATTAACCGAAGATCTTATATTCATACTAGAGGCCCGGTACACAAATTTGTGCACTGGTGGGGTCCCTTGGCCTGGCCTGTGAGGATCGGGCTGAAACTGGCAGTTCCACATCCCCTGAGGGGTCCTGGGTTGCAAAAGGGTGCAGGCCAGGCCCAGAGACACTTCCCCCTGCCCCACGCTGTGAACAAATCTATGCACTGGGCCTCGAGTTAAATATAAAAAGTGAACTTCTAAGCTAAGTCACAATGGATGCCTTGAATGTTTAA